GATAGTCCTGTATACAAGTCCACATATTGTGCAATGGTGAGGATCTCAGGACATAGCAACAGGAATATTTGCTGGTGCTTTTTGATGTTGTCTTAGCCGGACAATACAACTGATTTCAAAATTTCTGATACCTCTCTGGCACAAATATCTCCATTTATTTCTATTCAGGGCAACTTGCTTAAAGTTAGTATGATGCATAATGACAGTTGAGAGGTTGCTCTTGCTTGTCTTTATACTTGAGCCACAACCGTCTTTGTCCACTGTCAAGCTGACTATACATGAGGACCTTAGATATTTTGTTATCATTCATCCTTGCAACATGGCCAGCCCAGCAAAGTTGTGACTGCATCTGGAAAGTCTCATATCCACCAATATTACATTTTGCCACAAGATCAGCATTGGATACCCTATCATTAAAAGTATAGCCACAGGTCACAAGGAGACAACTTATTTGGAAGACATTCTTTTGATAGATATAGGACCTATATGGGATTCATGATTCTGAGCTGAACAATAGTGTTGTCAAAAAGGCTGTTCTATAAACATATATTGGTGTCCAATTTGATACCTCTCTCATTCCATAGGTGATGGTGAAGCTTCCCAAATGAACTTTGGCAATCTAATTTGTTATTTAATCATTAAGGGATGCATCTGCATTCATCTTACTTCCTAAATATGTAAATGACTTCATATACTTCAAGTTCTTCTCATCAACTTGCATAAGGAATTGATGCACTGCTGGATGTTGTTTGACACCCCAAATCTGCTTTGGACAAGGAGGCAGCTGGTGGATTATTTCCATTTTTTTTTTATTTTTATTTTTATTTTTTTATGCTAATGGTAAGGCCAAAAGTTTTGCATACAACAGAGAAATTGTTGACAAGTTCTTGGGCTTCCTTGAGGGATGTTGCCACAAGTGAAGCATCATCAACAAACAGCAGATCACTAATGACACTAGTTTGAAAAAGTGTTTTAGCTTTGAACTGCTGATGGTTGAAAAGGCAACTTAGCACCAGTGTTCATCTTACCAAAAGTGAGAATAGCACAAGGAGAATAGGGGCCATGACACAACCTTGCTTCATGCCATTTGTAACATCAAAGGGATCAGAATTCCCATCAGATACAACACAATAGCAACTTTCATCCTTTACATGAAAGGAGATTATAACATTAACATTCAACATTTTGTCTGGGATTCCAAGCTTTTTAAGAACTTTCGAGAGTGTTTCATGATTTATAGCATCAGAAGTCTTAGTAAGGTCAACAAATACCATATATATATATATATATATATATATATAATGTGTGTGTGTAAATTTAAATTTTAATAGTCCAATATGTGTGTACACACCAGACTATTGTAATCTTACACCCAATCAGCATTGAATTTGTTAAATTTGTAATGTTTTTATTATAAACTAAAACATATATTTTGAACAAATTACAAGTATGATAAAAAAAATAATAAACTAAAAATTATTGAAATAAAATAAAACTCCCCATTACCATTTAATAATGTGTTAATGTGATTTAATTTTTTTGTTTTTCACAAAAATTCTAGTTTATTATTAAAAAGGACTGACTTCTTGCTTTTCCAGTCATATTTAATGGAAGTAGAAAATATTTAATCAAAGTAAATAATATGCAAGACTTTTTCTTCTGTTATATACAAAAGTAAATTTATTAGTTATGATTATTTGTTAATCTTAGTTGAGTTTAGTAAAAAGTCACATTGGTAGAACAAGTCAACTGAATCATATTAACTCCAGCAGTAAGTCTGTCAGACTAAAACAAAAAAGTCAAATAAACACTGTTTTATGGTTAGGTGTTCTCAATTGTATAAATATCTTGGTTGTCTGGATTTTAAAATAATTTTGATATCCATTTGTTAAATTAAACAAAATTCACTTAAAGTATAAAATATTTTGAAAGTCAATTTAACTTGCTTTCAAAGTAACACAAAGTTTTATGTGAGTTGTTATTTTGTTACTAGGCTATTTAAATTTTGAGTAAACCAGTTGGTTTTTAAAATTTAACAATTAAATCTTGATGAATATAGTTTCAATGGAATAATATATAGTGGCAAGACAAAAATCCATATCTTAAAGATTTTAATAATTTGTAGAATTCTGTTTACAGTTAAAAACTTTTTATACTTGTAAAATAGATTTTTCTGATTAAATATGTTAAATGTTGTGCAATTACATACAAAGTATATAACCATTTGGGAAGTAACAAATTTTTCGCCTGAAACTTAAGCTTACATAGAATAATTTTGTACTTATTTTTGATTTGTATATTTATTTGGTATAATCTTTTAAACTATGGCATCTCACATCAATAAAATTTAAGCTATTACCTAAATTTTAAATTCTAATTTTAAAAGGGAAAGAATGTTTTAACATTTAAATACATATTATGGAAAAATATAATGGAAAACTACCAGCTAAATATTTTTAAAATTCATTTCATTATTGTTTTTTTTTCCTTAAAAATATAGCCTATTCCCAGAATCCAGGTGAGATTTGGGTGTCTTTTATTTTGCTTCTCATCTAATTTTGCTTTTCACCATCTTGGTGAAATATAAACCTCACTTATCAAGGCGAATGACCAGAATAACAATCTCAACTGCTATTTTATGTTCATTTATCTCTCTCTCTCTCTTATTGTTGTTTGTCTTTCATATTTTCTTTCACTTTTTTTTCCTTATGATCATTTCATTATACTGAGGTTTCTTCCTATTCACTTGCTTATCTTCTCATCTTTTAGAGTCTGTAATATCAAATTATTCTATTTTTTGTATTTTCAGTTCAGATACCTTTGACTAAGAACTTATCAGAGGTATTAAAGAAATGTTTTGGGTGATTTGGGGAATTGTCACAGGTGGCTACAGATTGTCGTAGCTTAAAAGAACATCTTATTCATAGGCATTATTATGTATATTAATATCTTTTGTTATTGTTTCCTTTTATTAACTGAACTTAATAAAAAGGTTTTATGCAACAAAATGTTCTTTTTGATTTTTAAAATAATCATTCTGATCAGGTGAAATTCATAATTTTTTTAATGGAAATCTCCAAAATGTGATATAACTTAACTTTTTCTTACTAAATAAGATTGATTATCAATCAAGTATCCTCACAGAATTTTGGGAAATTGACCCCTGTGATGAAAAAAATTATTTAAATTAAATAGAAAAATTAATTTAATTTTGAATTTTGTGCTATTAGAAAATATTCTGAATCAAAAAAAATTTATAATGTAGCAGATTTTTGTTAAAACAAAAATCTCATGATAAAAATCAATAGAATTTAAATACCTGATAATATTGTATTTTAAAAATGTAAAGAAATCCATTTCTTCTAAGTTAATAAAACTTTGTCCTTGATGTATCAATGATTGAATTTATTTTTTTGTAAACTGGTTGAAATATTTCTTTCTTTAACACAAATAATATTCTGTATGAAATTCTAAAGGCTATTTGACTATGAGTAAATTTCATTGTTTTTAAAAAGATAATTCCATGGTGAATTAAATTCAATTTAAAGATTTAAAAAATCCTTCACCAAAAACACAGTTAAAATCTTGATATAAATCTGGAAATTTAAGACAGGAAGTAAAATATTGCTTTGTTTTACAATTATTTTAGTTTTATTTTAAAATTATATTGTAAACAGAAGATATATAAAAAGAAAAAGTATTTCATATTTGAAAAATTAAAATATTTCAACATTCTTAGTTTATTTTTCTTGTCCTTGTTTGTACCTGAAATGTTATTAAATAACAATATTGGGAAAAATCTATAATATGAAAACTTATGATAAATTGAGCATTAAAAAATTGAATTGTTTAAGACAGGATTATTTTCTATTTTTTCTTTGCAAGATACATTGCAGATTTTATTATAAGTCAGTTTTCACAATAAAATTGATATTAATAAATCAATGTTGATAAAATTTTCAGGACATATATAAATATATTATGTGAATTTTGGCTAATGTTTTTTTTTATATTGAAAATAATTTATTTGATGGTATGAGATTTTATTATGCAATTTGTTCATTCTATTGAAAATGACTATATATAATTTTATAGTTATTGATAATTTTTAATTACAGATTGTCATGTATTATAAAGCTATAATATAAAAAAAGAAAGGATATTGTCATGTTATTGAGTGATGGGAGCAAAACATTGGGAATTGCAAAAATGTTGACAAGAGATGAAAAAAATTCAAAAAAGAATTGAAACTATTTGCAAGATAAGAAAAAATGACTTTAAGAATGACAGAAAGATTTGAGAAAAATTAAGAAAAGTGGATTAACACGCTAGAAAATATTTGAAGAAGCTGGTGTTGCAAATGTAACAGTAACTTTGTGAACTGTAATTTTTACTGATGGATGTTGGAATACATGAGTGGAGTATCTTGGGTAAGATAGCCTGATGGAACCCAACTCTCTCCAAGTTGGTTTAAAATCAGAGCTTTCCATCTCGTAGAATGATGGCTAAGCAAGACTGTGTAGAACTGTTTGTCTTCCTATATATCCATGTCTGCAAGCATTTAGACACAGATTCACATTTTAATGGATTAAAACTAATAAAGTGATTATGGGTTGTTTGATAATTAGAGATTAAATACTTATAATTATAGTCAAATTTTAGTCTAGAAAATTATTTTGCTGAAAAATTGCTTTGATGATCCAGTCCAGTAATAACAAATAAGAATACTAAAATAGTCTTCACCAAATATTTAAAAAAAAAAATCTTTGAGGGCTTAACATCTACTATATTGTCTAATTGCATAATTCGTAGATTGTAAGTAAATTGTGCTAACCTTCTGAAAGTATAAAATGTCACTTGTATCCCTCGTCTACTTACAGTCAGGAACATTTTGATACCTATTATCACAATTTGTCCTATTTTTTATTTTATTTTTTTATAAACTTTATCTAAAGTGAAATTCAAGTTCAAAATAGCATACCAATCAATGGATTTCAGATTTTCATTGTAATCATTTTTCAATCAATCTTCAAGAATAAAAATCACATAAAAAATGTTCATAGTTAACTTTGATGGCATTAAAGGAAGCATTAGTTGATGTTTAAGTGGAAAGGTGATAGTTGATGTTATATAAAAGTTGTACTATTTCTCAAATCACAGAATCTGCTTACTTTAGCAATATTTATTTATAATGGTTGACTGCTTATTTCTGAGTATGCCTGTCTACTAAGGTGGCTAATCCCTGTTGCAGACACCTGCTTAGACTCATTTGTGTCTTTACAACATACACACAAACAACCTGTGGTTTATACTGTAACTGTGATGAGTATACCTTAATTTTTAACTTTTCTTACCTTTTCTGTGTGCATAATCTGTCATGATTAGTAATTGAACAAAGTTAGTATGATCAAATCTTCAGTCATGAAGACTTGTAATTTTGTGCTGGCACAACCATTGGTAACTTCTGATGGTTTTCAGGTAGTTCCCAACCATGCTGCATATTATCAAGAAGTTGCCTCGTTGACAAATTGACCATGGTGAGATTTGAACTTGATTTGAATACTAATATATAACAACTTAGTCACATGCTCATATATAATGTATATTTGGGCAGCAGCCTTTCTTTCAGACATGTTTCCTTGAATATGACAGACAAGGAAAATTTGAACTTTTTATTGAGTTTTTCTAATATTCTTAAATTTTTCTGTTTGGTAGGAGTAAAAGAGTGTAAAAAAAAGTCTGCAGTGTCTTTTGTCCCAAGTGCTTTCAGCCACTTCTTCTTTTAGTCATTTTCAAGAGGTTCATTGTTAATTGTTATTGATTTCTTTTTATGGTTGTCTTTTTAAGATGTAATTGTGTGATGTGTATTTGTTAATTGTTATTAATTTCTTTCATCAAATTTTCCTCATTTGTCCTATTCAATGAAATATATATTTATTCACATATACATATGAGGTGGTATGAAAAAGTTTCTGAACTAGTTCTGTAGCATGGTAACACATTGTCGTGTGCGTAGTGACAGCTAGAAGTGACCATGTGCTAAATGACACCATTTCATTTTGCAAGTTGTGAAATTTATGTTTTTGTGATCACATGTATCCTGTAGTCTGTAATTTTGTCATGAACAGGAAGTTGGAACAAAGACCCAACATGAAATTTTGTGTTCAACTTAGGAAGTCTGCTACAGAGATATTGAGCATACTTATAGTGATGAAGTACAGTGTAACCCGGATATAAGAGAAACCCGGATATAAGAGATTTTCTCTGGTCCCAAATTAGAGCCTGTGTTAATGTATATATAATAGACCAAACCCGGATATAAGAGAGATTTTCTCTGGTTCCAAATTAGAGCCTGTGTTAATGTATATAAAATAGACCAAACCCGGATATAAGAGACTTCTCCGGTCCCAGCAACTCTCTTATATCCGGTTTACACCGTATTAGGTTGTATGCAATGTCTTGAGTGGCGTGGGTGCTTCAAAAATGGAAGAACATACCAGGAAGATGATGAGAGATCTGGAAGACCTGTCATGAGTGTCACCTCCTGGAAATGTGGAGAAAATCAATCATCTTGTGCATGAGGATTGTTGTAGGACAATCAATGATATTGCTGATGTTGTTGGTTTGTTATATGAGTCCGTGCAGGGAATCTATGATGTCTGAATTGAACATGCAGCATGTCACTGACAAGTTTGTCTCCTACCTACTGTCAAATATTGCATTGATGTCTGTCAAGATCTCTGACAGACATCAGACATCAATGCAATATTTGACAGTATGCAGTAGACAAACTTGCTGCTGATGACCCATTCTTCATGTTGAGGATCATCTCTGGTGACAAGAGTTGTCTGCAGATACAACCCTGAGATGAAGCAGCAGTCGATAGTGGAAGAGCCCTTTGTTTTTTGGGGTTTTTTTTTGACATCTGCAGTAATGTGCATTGAGAATTCATTCCCCTGGGCCAGACTGTCAATTGACAGTTCTACTGCACCATTTTGAGGCATTTGAGGAAAGATGTTCAGAAAAAACAACCTGATCTCTAGAGCATGAGAATTGGATCTTTCACAACGATAATGCACCCTGTCATCAAGCTCTACTCATGAATTTCTAGCCAGAAACAATATTGTATTGCTTCCACACCGGCCATATTTGCTGTGGACTTCCATCTCTTCATGCTGAAAATGCAACTCAAAGGTTGCCATTTTAATACTGTTGTTGAGATCCAGAGTGAATCCCCAAAGGTTCTAGACTTTCTTATGGAAAGCAACATCCAGGCTGGATTTCAAAAGTCGCAGGAACACTAGGGCCATTGTATTGCTGTGTATGGTAATTATTTCAAAGGAGATGATGTTAAAATTTATGTAAATATATTAGTTTTTTTTAAACATCACCTACATGCAGTGTGTTAAAAGTTAAATGCTATATGTCTTGTATATGAAGGTATGCTGAAAATTTTTTGACCTGACCAAGAATCTTCCCCATTCTATCCAAAATCTAATGTTTGGTCATTAGGTCAGA